CCTTTCCCGGCGGCGTGGAGAAAGATAAAAGCATGTTGAAGTGTAATTGAGGCGCTGCGAACGGGTAGCTGCTGCGGCTGCGGGACAACAGGTCAATGCCGAGCTCGCGTGCTCGCTGGCTGCCTCCCTCTCTCTCTTTTATTATGTTTAAATAATGTCCTTTGTGCCGTTTCTGACTGTTGTTTCACATCCTCGAAATAGAAACTGTATTGATCAGTGAGGCTGAGCACTTACAGACCTCTGTTAATGGACTGGAAAACCCATCTGCGCCTGCTGCTGGGGCTCTGTGCGGGCAGCTGCCAGGCCCTTGGCAGGATGAGGCCACTGAAGCCCCCCTGGCCTGGCTTTGGGGGTCCCCCCTCCGAACCCCTGGCTCTCCAGTGGTGATGCCCGGCTGCTCAGGCACCACTGATTCACTCATCGGATGGTTTTTCCCCTAACCCGCCTCTGGCTGGAGCTCTGCTGCCGACCACACGCACAGAGAAACTTTCGCTGGACTTCGCTTCCCAATTTTGGCCAGAGAGAGGTGACCTCTCGCCTTCTCCCTTGACAACATCACCGTCACCACGGGAGCGGCTGGGCCACCAACCCTTCAGCATCTGTGACTTGGTCACAAACCAAAATCACACACTTTGATCTCTCAGAAAAATGTCCCAGACATCAACATGACAAAAAAATCCGACTGGTCGCTGGCTGGATGCTCAGGGTTGCTCCAGCCCCGCTCCACGTCCAGGCCCCAGCTGCAAGGCAAATCCAGAGGGCTCTTCCTCCCCCTTTCCCCAAGCTCAGGTCTTCCTCTCCCAGCTCCAAGCTGCAGCACGGATCTCCGAGGAGCGCTCCGGCTCTGCGAAGGACGGCAGCATTCGGCTGCTTTCCAGAAAAAAAGCTGCACCGGCAGAAAGGGCAGAGGCTTTCCCGCGGGAAGGACTGGCGCAAGGGCGGCGGAGGCTGCGCGTGTTGCGGAGAACGGCCCCAGCGCTGCGATGCCCAGGCCCACGGCCAAGAGCCATCACCTGCGCCGGGGAAATGAAGGTGCTTAACCCACGGGCGCTGGGAGTGCGTGTCCCAGCCTGGGGCAGTTTGCAATGGGCATCCCCCGGGAAAGAGATGGCCTGGAGGGGCTCAGCCCTCCCTGTGCCATGTTCTGCCTTGCCTGGGTGCGGGAAACCATGGCATCGTCCCGGGAAGAGCCACGCGAGCAGATGCCGCTGCTGCAGCTTCGTGACGGGGCACACGGCAGCGAGGACGGGAACCGACCCCGAGCAGGGAGCTGGGGGTGCCCCTGTGCTCCCGGGGTTGAAAGCGCCGGGGGACGATCATACGGTCAGAACAGTTTGGGTTGGAAGGGA